AAGTAAGATTTTAAATTCTTAACCTCATCTTGGACCAATAAAAACCAGGAACAAAATTTGGTAGATTCCCTGTTCAAACTGAATAGGGAACCCACCAAGTTTGCTCTTTTCAGGGACACCTAAAAAGATGGATATTCAATTTCGCATCAAGATAGACATGTTTTATATTTTATTTGTTAAAATAAAGTTTATCAGGAAGTACAATACATACAATATATCTCACATTTTCTAGTAGTGATCGAAATTAAGTGCAGTGGATTAGTACGGTTCATTAGATAGATACAATTTGAATAAAGTTTGTTAATTAAATGTTACGTTTACATTTACACTAATAAATCTTTGTTGGTGATTGTTGTTTTGTAAATTCTTTTGATAATATTCGATTTATAGGCCTTTATCTCAAATGCAAGCTTTCTTCCTTGTTCCTGAAAGTTGTTCTGAACCACAAACACAAACACATTCGAGTGTGAACAAGTACATGAAGGTGTGATAAGATCATGCTTTGAATATTTTTTATTTTCAATTATCGATTATAATAAAAATTGAGGAGTGTACGAAAACATGCTCAATTTTTAATGATTATATGAAGCGGATATACACGTACTTGTATCAGTTGAAGTTGTGACGTAATCTGCTGTTGGAAATACAGTGACTGTGGCTTTGTTCTTGGCAAGAACGCTATGTATACCTTGCAGGTTTTAACGCTAAATCCATTTCAGAGAAAAAGATAAATTTTCTTAGCAATTCAATTGAACAAGAACGTTCAAAATGATTATTTAGAATCATTGGTTGTCATTCGATATAGAGCTTTTAAGTCTTTTTGTAATTTTTTGGCGACAATAGTTATCCGCAGCCCTAATACACTTCAACTTTTAAGATTTATTTTTTTATATAATTTCATCGGAGACGTAAAACAGGGGAGTGAGCGAAGAGGAGATAGTGGGCAAAGGGAATAGGAGATGGTGAGTTAGATGAGGGAGTGAACAAAGAGAGAGGGGGTGGGAGAGAGAGGGGTGAAGTGATTAAGGAGAGAGAGATAGAGAGCAAGCGAAAAGAAAGGAGTGAAGTGATATTGAGGGAGGGAGGTAGTAAATGAGGGGAGAGGGAGTGATGGAGGGGAGGAAGGGTAAGTAGAGGGAGAGGGGCGGAGTGGGGTAGGGAGTCTGTTGAGATGAAAAAGAGGAGAGAGAGTGTGCATGAATGAGGGGAGAAAAAGAGAATGAGACAAGAGACGGAGGGAGGAGCGTGAGGGAAGAAAGGAATCAGAGGAGATTGGAGAAGAATGAGTGGAGAGAGAGGGGGATTGGGAGTGTATGAAAGGAGGGAATATACTTAAAAGAAAGACGAGTGCAAGGGAGAGAGGAATTTATAAGGATAAAGCGAGCTAGAGGAATGGGACGAAATATAGTTATGAAAAGATAGGAAAGAATGAAGGATGAACTGAAGAGGAGGGTGAAGAAAGTGAGAGTAAGGAGGGGAATTTGTGAGAAAAAGAGACAGAGGTAGGAAAAATAAGGAGGAGAAGAGAGTCTGCAACGTTTAAATAGGGCAAAAACAGTGATGCCCTGTTCGCAACAAGGCACATTTAGAACTGCAACGTAAAATAATGCAAATTAAAGGTCTCTACATCCTCTATTGGGACAAAGGGATCAACTCCGTACTTTGCAACTCTAGAACGAAACATTCTACCATCTACGCCAAGCTTTAGACAACTGACGACGTGCGCGTGTTGTGTAAAGTTGTGCTACAACTATAGCGTGACGTTGTGCTTTGTGTAAGAATGACTTCCCCTTCACACACACACTCTCTCTCTCTCTTTTACACTTTCTCTCCCCTCCTCATACGCACTCTCTCCCTTTCTTCAATTCACTAACTCTCCCTCCCACTCTCTTTCCCTCCCGCTCTCCCTACTTTCCCTCATGCCTTCCCTCTCAAAAACTTTCTTTATTCAAAATATAAATGATAAATGCGTTTTTGAAACAGCCCTTTCGTATACTCGAATAAGACTCATAAACTCTTCGTTTGTATTTTTCAACATAATTATAAATTCCATAGAAACGCTTTGCCAATTTAAGATATCATATAACCGACCTTTTATCAAATATTCATTGTTTCAGTACATTTATATAATGTACTAAATGGGTTTACAATTAAAAATATAATTATTTTGCCGATTTAAAACGTTTTTCTGTTCTTAAAAATTATTTTTCTAGAACTTTATACTATGTAATGTAAAGTTGAATCTTTTTTTTCTTTTTAACAAATTCCATTGTCATCTTGCGGATTATTGGGTTGTGCACTGAATCAACATTTTCTAGTAATTTCAAACATTGACCTGTTTGACGATCGAATTATGATATCTAATTATAACGTTGCACCGTGATATTTCTCGATTCTTTTCACGCAGAAAACATTTAAAAGTTCATTGCGTTCGATATCATGTTTTCTGAAATCAGTTCTGTATGGGCTAAAGACAATAGATTTATTTTTGTTCCAGGCAGCCCCCCCCCCCCCCCGCTTTTTTTCCAGACATAAGTTTTTCTATAGGAAATGTTCATTGAAAGTCCGGTTGCCCCCCCCCCCCCCACTTTTGTTTGCAGTATCCCCCCCCCCCCCCGAAAAAGGATTTTCGAGTTTGCACAATTTTCCTTTCCTTTTTTTTTTTTTTTTTTTTTTTGCTTGTAAAGTTTTTTTCAAGTAAGTTGAAATTTTTTTTCCTCGGGTTGCCCCCCCCCCCCCCACTTTCAAAAACGATGCTACGTCACTGTGTTCTTTCCAGTTTCTGTTTGCAGATATAGCTTAACAAGAATATTTAAGAATAAAATTATCCATGGATTCCAATTGTAGCCTCGTCGATTTGGTACGCATTTAAAAAAGAATTATTTAACGGATTATTTCACTCGTTCTGCTGATTGGGACTTTGCAGAAGCTTTTTATAGATTTCATTAAAATCTCTATAGCGCTCAATAGATTTTGTAATGCATTAATGATAATTTTGAGTTATTTCAGGCAATGTGTTTATAGATGATAAACTGTTAATAATAGCAAATGATACTTGAGAGTTTCTATAATAATTAAAGATTTGTGGCTTAACTATAGGAGACAAATCATATTGCAAGGCCTTAGAAAAATAAGTTTGTCGACAGTTACCAGACCGATCCAAAACTTAGGCACCGACGGTTAGGTTTTTCAAGTAAAATCCGGAAATTGCATGTCTGTACATTGATTGTATATCGTAAAACAGATTTTAGGTAGAAACAAAGTTGATTTACCAAGATTTATTTTGTAATTTTATGTAAAAATTGGTAAAAATTCTTTTAAAAAACCATTTAAAACAAGACGTGTTTGTGAAACACTGATGCCCCCGTATGGCAACTTATAGCGAAGGTTAAACTTTCTCAAATGCAAATCAAATATGTTGATACCCAAATTAAGGACTTGTCCGGAGGAATATACCTGTGAAATATAAAAACCCTTGCAGCAACCATTGAAAAGATATGGAAAAGGTTAAAGTTTTTCAAAAGTAAGTCAAACATCAAGATCAAGGTCAAACTTAAAGGTGCCCAAGGAAAGGCCTGCTCACAAGAAATACACAAGTGAAATATAAAAGCCCTAGCACCAACCAAGGTCACTGGGCTATAATTGTTGTATGTAAAGGTCTTGTCACAAGAATTACATATGTGAAGTTTGAAAGCCCTAGCACCAATTGTCAAAAGTTATGGCTAAGGTTAAAGTTGGATAAAATTTTGTAAAACAGGATCAAACTCCAAGATCAAGGTCAAATATGATGGTACCCAACATAAGGTCTTGTCACAAGATATACTCATGTGAAATAAGTCATAGTTCCAACCAAACAAAAGTCATGAGCAATGTTAAAGTTTTTGCGGACAAACCGATAAAGAGACAGACAGACGGACGGGCAGGGCAAAAACTATATACCCCCAAATCTTCGATACTGGAACATAAAAATAAACATAAATTCTTACCTACCGTCCTTAAATTAACACGTAATTAGTAAACAGACACATTTATTTTTTAGGCTTAATTTTAGAAATCATAGTCTTTTTCTCTATTAGTTTAGGTTCTGTTATCTCTGGAGTTTGCATTCAAAGTAAAGGCAGTGCAAAGGATTTACACACTAGTTACTTGAACACTGTCTGAAACTTTGGTATATATACCGGTACATGTTGGAGTTGACCCCCCAAAAAAAATCATGATTTACGATTTGGACTTACCAAAAGTGAAGTTTATACATAACATAATGTACCATAAGAGCATGCAATTCGTATAATCTAAAAGGATCATACTACATGTATCTGTAATATATTTAACATATTTGTTTTCCACGAAACGACGTATTCTAAAACACAGAAACATTATTGCCAAAAAAATCCCAGAAGAGTAATAGGGCGGCATACTTACTTAACAATTATTGCACTTTATTTTATTCACTGCTGAGAAACTCACTATTGTAACTGTTTGATTTGCTGATATAGTGAAAATCAATTGATATAAATATACTCTAACAGTAAGAATACAAACATAACTTAAACGTTAACCTAAGATTACGCACCTGAATTTTGAGTGATGATTGCTGTATTATGCAAGCTTTACCCTGCCTAAGATTACCTTTGCTACATATGGTATGTGTATGTAACCAATACCAGAATAATTTCTAGACTTTATTGGATGTAGCAAATTGCCAAACGTACTTTAACAATTCAAACTTTAGTTATTCCTTGTAAAATGCGAAAAATCAAGACGTCAAACTGTATATTTTACCCCAAAAGTTATGAGCATGGTTAAAGTTGCCAAAAAACAAAAGACAGACCAGAACATTTTTTGTAATATTATGGAAAAAATTGAATGTGGATGTATTCAAGATCGTTTAACTAAAGCTCAACCTGTGAGCCACACTCCTGTGTGAAATACGGTAATCACACTCTACTGCATATTGTATATAAAACATATTTCATAATACAATCATGTCGGCATGCAAAACCACATTAATGAACAAAATCAAGGCAAGCAAGCACTGCTCTTGGCACAACTAGGTAACGCACTTTTTTTTTTTAATTTAGTCTTATGTCTGTTCTTCAAGCATGGAAGCACAGGCAATCCATTGCAATGACGAGAGCCAGAACACAGTTACAAAGCATCAAAACCCTCTTCCGTGTTGAATTCCACGATACTTGTAACATCGGTCTTTTCTCGCGTAGGAGGTTCAACATCGGTCTTTTCTCGCGTAGGAGGTTCAACATCGGTCTTTTCTCGCGGAGGAGGTTCATTCGTGTTGAATTCCAAAATACTTATAACATCAGTCTTTTCTCGCCGAAGAGGGGGTTCATTTAAATACAATGGTTTTATTTTCTCTGGCGGTTTAGACATGGTAATGTCATGTGATCCAATGACATTTGACTTAGTTATCGTTCGTTTACACTTTCTTCCTTTCTTGCGTAATATTATTAATAAAATGATTAAAGATATGATAAATAAGGAACCCAGTATAATAATGACGTAGTACACAATATCAGATTCGTCCTCCGCCTTGGTATCTGCAACCGAAAAAACTAAGAATCAATTATAGTATGTACAATGAAGAGAATGTATTGCAAAAGCTGGGGTTTTTTTTTTGGGGGGGGTGTTACAGTATAGGAGGGTATATACTGGTGTGTATATATATTTCAACACAGGGAATTTACCAATTATTTCCTTTTCAAATCAATATTTATAACTTCACTTCTGTTTCATGATTAAAGCTAATTAAAAAAAAAAAAGAAAACCCCCTTTCTTTACAATTTAGTCTTTCAAACTGGAATGACACTTGCTATTGTCAATCTTTTAGGAAAAGTTAATTGGTTCTCAAATAGGGATGCTTAGAAATTATGATATAGTTTGTTGACAATTCATACAGTTAGTCCAAAGTTGATATTAAAAGATGCTTGAGTTTCTGATTAACAATATCTATATAGTTTTTGGAGATCAAGTCTTCCAACAATCGGTCGGAATTTCCATGAGTACCAATGGCGCCCCGTATTAGCAGACCTATTTTCGGATTCATATGAAGCAGAATTTATTAGAAAACTTCTATATGAAATCAATTCAACATTTAGATATATCGACGACGTTTTATCTATTAACAATATTCATTATCATTCCTATGTTTATTCGATATATCCCCTTGAACTCGAAATAAAAAATAACACAGAGTCATAAAAATCTGTTTCGTATCTGGATATTTTACAAGAAAAAGACGTTAATTGTAACCTAACAACAAACTGCTCCAAATTTGCTTTGTTTTAATAGACTTTTGAGCTTGCGTAGTGTTCGTTATCTTCATATTTCATACTATAGAACTAATAAAATCACTTACGACAGGTCGAATCGGGACCAGAAAACGTGAGCTTCAGTCCATGGGTTCCAACAGAAGTAGGTGTTTGGGTAGAATCGGAACAAATTTTTGGAAATAATGTCGCAGATGTTCCTTTTACAACCTGCAAACAGATCATTTTCGAATAGGTAGGATTATCAATATACTTGTTCTCTATTATAGTTCATGGTTTTAAACACCATATTTAGTAGTCATACACATCGTAACAGAGACGGATTTTTGCCTCCAAATGGATTTGAACCGGGACCTCTGACATGCCAGTTCAGTGCCCTATTGATTGGGCTAAAATGGTTAAATCACTAGCCCAAGCTAAAGGATGCCGTGTATCTTACACATTGTCTCCTTCCAGAAAATGAGATGACCTCTACTCGGTTTTTTTAGTGCCAACGCCTGAAGAATCCTAGGGCCAATCAATTTCACCCGGCAGAGAATAAAGTCCAACATGGGCGCCAAGTGTAACAGAAACAGTTTTGTGTCTCCAAAGAGATTTGAACCCGGAACCTCTGTCAAGCCAGTTCAGATCTACTGATTGAGCTAAAGGGTTAACCCACTAGCTCAAGCTAATAGAATACCGGGAATACACACTAACACAACATAAGGATGAAAAAATGCAAATACTAGTAACTAAGTTTTATGTATAAAACTCACAAGGCAAGCAAATTTGTATGTGCGTCCACTGTCAAAGTTATAGGAGTAGGTGTACGTAGATGTCACAGTAGTGTCATTGTTCCAGAGTGACACATAGGTATATCCATTGCTGGTTATGCTTCTTAAACACGTCCAAAATCCCCCTGCTATAAGAAACATATACTGCATAAGAAATCCATGAAATATACAGTGGAATTTTGACAATGAAGAGAAAGTACCTGTAATGTAATACGCACCAGAGAATTTATGGTTAGCCGTACAAGAAGAATGGTAAGTGAAGGACAATTTGGTTTTATCAGAGCATCCGTCCATTGTATTGTTCACACAACTGGAAGCGTCGTTGTATTCGCTAATAGTGACCAATGAGAACTTATCCAGAAGGTCTGTAGCACAGGTAGCTTCCGATGATCCATTCTCTATGGAACCTTATGATATGTGCAAAATTATGTCTTTCCAATTAAAGTGTTCTCTTTGGAAAATGTATGTATGGTTGTTTTTTTCAAACACTTCGGGTGAATCTTTATTATACATGTATATTTAAGACTTGTGTGTTTCAAAAGGATGATCAAAAAATGCTCCTGCGACTGTTTACGTTTTATAGATTCTGCAAACTACATTGTTACAAGTTCAATTTTTTTTCATTTGATAATCAGGCAGTTTTAATGGTAAAATCAAGATGTTTGTTTTTTAATTATCTATGCCAAAACATAATATACTTTATCAGAGTTTAATCGTGACCAGTTTGCATTTATATTTATCATTAGCTTGCAGCGATAATTACTGTAATCAAAATTAAATGCAAAAGATTCTTTAGAAAGGAACTACTTTCGTCTGTATACTTGTAAAGCCTGTTCCATATTGATACTTTTCTGGTCAATATAAAACTCAAAAGTCCATATAAATATTCTACTCTCTGCCATTTGTTCTGAAATTGTTCACATGTATTTCATCCATTTTCGGTCTGTTTAACTTCATTCAAAATCTCCTATCTGTTTCATATACGAAATGGACGACAATTAATTTTAAAAAAACAAATTAAAAATAAATTTATATCTTAATGTTCATTGTCCTTCTGATGGGAGAGATAACTCTCAGTGGGATTTATGACAAAAATGATTATAGCCCTTAAAAATTGTCCAATCAAATTTTGCACCGTAATACATGCTGAAATCTTTTTCATATCAATTATAATTCACAGTCTTTTGAAAAATAATATCAATCATTTATTTGAGTGAAAAGGGTATGAAGAACCTCGAAAGTAAATACCATCTTTTACTAAAGTAACGAAAGACGTGCTGCTATATGACTCGCTGCAAGTCTCTTCCAACGTTGCAGTTAATCCATTAAATTTTCCTATATTGTGATCATTATTGGTTCCACTAATGGCTGCAAAAAATCACATCGAAATACACGTATTAATTTCTAAAATTAACACTCATGTCTAGAATAAAACAAGAGGTCAAAGGTCTAATTACGCTCATTTGAGAAATTACAGAATAGAACAACAAAACAGCAACAGCAAAAACCATCAAAATACCAGTAGACCTTTTCACAAAAAATCTTAAGATTAATTTCTATCGTAAGAGAAATCATATGCTTTTCTTCCTTTTCACAAAAATTCTTACGAGATTCTTACGTGTAAAATTTGTCGTAACTTTACGAGAGCCCTTAACCCAGGGGTTATTTTAAAATGTTCCCTTCCTCAAGAAGCTTCCACATAATTAAGTTTCTCCTTTTCTGACCAAGTGGTTCTTGAGGAGATTTTTTTTATTCCATCCTATTTATGTCTTTTCTTAATTATCTCCCCTTGGAAGCGGGCTAAGCCCTTCATTTGAACAATTTGGAATTCCCTTTACCCAACTTGAAGGATACTTTGTGCCAACTTTCGTTAAATTTGGCCCTTGCAGTGGTTATTGAGAAGTCATATGAAAAGCAAACAGACAGACGGGCCGACGCCGGGCAACGGGTGATCAGAGAAGCTCACTTGAGCTTTCAGCTCAGGTGAGCTAAAAAGTAGCTACTTGGACACATTCAAATACATGTATAATTTATTATAAATTCTACCAGAATTACAATTAAATCCAAAATGCATTAAAAGGCCCCACCTGTCTTGTGAAAGTAGTAGTACTTTGTAGCAGATATTCTCCAAAACTCTAAGCAAATGAAGCTGTGAACAGGTCCACCAAAAATAATGACAGTCTCGGTAGATCTATGTACAAAAATAATAATTTAATTCAATTGGCGAGGATCAATGTTTAAATAATTATGTTTCAATAGTGATGTTTAAGTACAGGTGTACTGAATTAGGATCAGATATAAAATTTTATAAGTGCAACATCGCTTTAAAAAATAATGAAAGAAATCTAAATGTATGACATAAAGGAATGTATATTTATTAGAATGTGCACGATTTCAGCAGACTCTCTCTCTCTCTCTCTCTCTCTCTCTCTCTAAATATATATATATAATTATATCATTAATAGCAGCTAAAAATTCAATTTTTCAAAAGTTTGTTGTTTCCCTTTTAAAAATATCGATTTTAAGTTAATGTATGTACTTACTTGAACATATATTTTCTATCACTCTGTTCAATACATTCAAAATCGAGAGACCTGACGCTGACAGACATGTATATAGGATATCCTTGTATGTGTGTTGAGTTGATCGTCAGTGGTCCTTTCTGGGCACTGTACCATACCCCTTCTAGTTCATCTGGTAGTGTACATAAACTTTCTGGAAAAAAAATGAAAATGTCTCGTAATGAAGCTTATATATACAAATTATACTGGTTGGTAATGGACATCGCTCTTAACCACCTTCAATTTATTGGACACATTTACAGATGCTTTACCTAGATTTGCAATGATTTTAATTCTAGGTAAGGCTAAATATGCAAGGTTTGTAATTTAGTGTTGTCAACGAGTACCCGGTTAACCGTCGAACGATGCAAGTATCGGTTAGTAAAACTGCTACTCGGTTACTCGGATATTTAAAATTTTACATTTTAACATGTTTAAATCAGCAGGAAAAAATGAAATATTGTTTTTAAGTTTCCTTATTTACGATAGACTCGACCTAGCGTTTTACAAAAACGATAAATTTGTTTTGATAAGTATTTCACAGTTTTATTTATCTAATTGGTGGCTTTCATTGCAAAGGGGTATTATACAAGTTTTAAAGGCTTGAGTTAATTATAAATACTTTACATAAATCTGCGCTAGTCCGCAGTAAAAGATTAAAGCAGCCATATGCATCAAAATAATTTTAAAAAATGACTGAATATATGCGGGTGGAAGGACAACAAATATGCTGAACCACCTAAGATTGAAATTTAACTCTGAAACAAGCGATATATTATAAAGGACATCCCGCAAAACAGCACACTATTTTGGAATGTTCCAGAAAAAATTATTTAGAAGATATTTAATACTGAGTTTGTAATTAAGAATTTAGTTCATAAACAGTGCATTTTTGTTTTATATATACAGGTATACAAATGATAAGATTTATATAGAAATGGTAATGACGTTACATATACAAAATGTACTTGTTACCATTGAGTATGTATACCTCGAAAAAGGATGTTTTGAGGTCTAAAGAAAAACCATCCGAGTAACCGGTTACTCGATCGGAAAAGTGAGCGAGTATATATAACCGGTTACTAAAATCGTCCGATTTGACAACACTAGTTTGTATACAACTTTATTGTTTCAGAGGTCCTAACACAACTGGTATGATGACAATATCTGCAGTTGTATAGCTGAACTGTTGTCCTTAGGTTGGTATATTTATATTATATATAAGAATAAAAGCACTCGAAATTCTCTCGCAAATATAACTTACCATCAGAGATTGAAAATAATATTGATAGTTTCTGCAAATGGGGTTAATCAATGCAAATTATTTTGAGTTCTAAGTTGTAAAAGAGATACACAGACATGCTTCTAAAGTGAGTGAAATACTTTTAAATCTTGATGTTTCTCGTCCCACGTGGGAAGGAGGGATGTTAAACATTGTTGATATCAAAATTTGAAAAATCCTTGGCACATTTCTTACGTCATAAATTAAAGCTTACTCGGTCATACTACAGACCTACTAACGAAACAAAATAGTTTTTGAAGTTATGCCTAATGACGCATAACGTATATAATGATCCATTGACGCTTTTTTGTAATCTTTAGAATATTCCTACACGGAAATTCAATTTCTGTTGTCAATGAGGCATACTGTACACTCAAATTATATTAAATATTTGAATTAAATAACATTCCTTCGCATTTTCAATAAACCTGGTCCTAATTTCTTCGTAAACAAAATGTATGTGACACATTTTCAATAAAATTATTGATATGTATTCAAGACGAACAATTTGGAAACAGTTTGAAGAATTTTTTTTTTTTTTCGTAGAGAATTGTTATTTAAAGATCGACAAGTTTTGGGAAAAAAAATGAAAACTATTAAGTACTATCATTTTTTTTTCAAATTTATATATATATTTAAAAAAAAAAAAGATAATAAGAATAAATTTGTATTGTTTGTGACTTACCTGCAATTATTAGAAAATTTCCCAGGTGAAAAACTACATGTACAAGCAAGGAAAACTCTGGCATGTCGCAAAATGAAAACAAAATACATTAAAAATTCAAACTTATAACTCTGTAGTCATGGATATTCCATTCTCTTGATAAAACAATACATGTAGGTAAATTTAAATATCCGAGGAAAAGAAATTTTGGAAGATTGTGTCATTTTCGTGAAGTTCTAAAGAAGGCAACGTTCCGTGCTTGCGCATATCACATTGACATTTTAGAACCCATGCATTTAAACGAATCTATCCTGGGGTTGATTGTCTGTGGCGAGCAATATTGGCATTGTGAACATTTTGTTTATCGATAAAGGTATTTTAATCAATGAATAATTATTGCATTCAACGACAATGAAAGTGATTTTGATTACAGAAGCTTGTATTTTAATACTTGCCATTCTGATTTTTCTCGCAAAGTAATAAATTCAATTCTACATCGATCGATATCCTAAAATGTCTTTAAATTAAGATTTAATCTATACATTTGTATTTATACACCTGTTTGTGTTTGTCGAGTAAAAAAAATTAGTGAAAGAATCCGAAAGGTAAATTCGGAATTTTACAGTTATAATAATTATATGGTTTTCCAAAAGAACAAGGAATATACGTTTTTTTTATCATCCAATATAACCTTTTTTAGTAATGCGTGTATGCCCTGAAACTTGTATCAACTTTTCGTCGTGTTCGGTTAACGCTAGATGGTACAATGTACAGGTAGGCGAACACGAGTTATCTTTCATGAACACGAGTTATCCTTCATAAGTGTGCGGATTTATTCACTCGTACATTGAATATTCTATACGGAAAGAAATGAAATATTCTTATACAATATTTATTTAACTGTTAATTTACAAATGGATAATTATATATTAAGTCCTATGCGTAAAAGTCGAAATGCCTATATTAACAATGCATAAATTTAAATTAATTATCAAATATTGATAAAATTGTTGACAATCGTGGATTTATTCAAATTCAAAATAAAAGTCCTTCAACTACATTATCAGAAATACAAATGTCTAGAAGCTCTTAAGATCCCCATCCCCATTTTTTAACCCAATCTAACCCTGATAGTGGATTAATTAAAGGGTGTTGCTAAAACGCGGAACGGAAAATATGATACCAGGTTAAATCATTTGAGAAATATATAAATCATTCCAAAAACTATATACATTATATAGTTCATTTTATAGTTAAATTGTTCATATTCAATCCTTGATTATTAAATTCTAGTTAATTAACTCATGTTTATTCTCATTTGAAGATCCCTGAACAAAGGCAAAGGATACGGTACGGAAAACCGAACAGAAAATATAATGCCGTACATATAAAATGTCATTATGGCAATTAAAATATGAGTAAAATATCTTTATAAAAATCCACCCTGATCAATATGAATGGCCAGTATTCTATATTTATATGAACCATGGTATGAACGAAGACAACATTACTTTTGATGCATATGCTCGGGCACCTGAAGCGTTGATAACGTACATCCACCCCCCCCCCCCCCCCAACCGGAAAAGTTGTAGAACTGAAAAACAGCACAAACCTATTGCACAGAATAACAGAAAGATTGAATTGATGGGAATTCAGACATTTTCGAGAAAGAAGATGGGCGAACAAGGCGAGCGCAATGCCTAAAGTGCGACAAACATGAAGGTGAAAAATTAAATCTCAATTATAACAAAATTTTCTGTGATATTTCATAAAAAATTAAAGAGTACTTTACGTATAATCTCCACAATTTGCAAAACTTTCACAAAGTTTGAAATTATTTGCCTGTGAAATAGCATACACTCAGACTAAAGAGGGCAAAAAGGATCGTTTTCTCATACTAATATGTTGACGGTGCGACCGTTGGGGCGAGCGCATTGTTCACTTCATTTTAAGATCCGCCTCTTCAAACCGCACAAGACATTTGGAACGTCTAGACTGTGACGTCACATGACGTCGTACATGTATGTTCGTTGCAGTTCCATAAACAAAGTTTAACCCTTTCGACGCCAAAGCGACATAAATGTCGTTTACTGTGTCCACGTCAAACCGACAAAAATGTCGTTTTTCAATCATTGTTTTAAAAATTATTTTTCTTTTATTAACTATAAACCTTACGTGTAATTAAACACAATAATATCTATATTTTGACACAAGTATAGGTCTTCATTTTAAAAATAGGCACTGGTTTAAATTTGTCGTCATATTTCTTACGTTGACGTTAAATTATGACGTCAGTTTAGGAGTACGCAAGCATTGTAGTTGAAGTATGGCGCACTTTCTGTTAGCATTTTTATGGTTCATTGTTGCCGGAAAGTTTTATACTTATTTTCCCAGGTGATACATACATTTTTTCAGAGAGAGAGAGAGAGAGAGAGAAAGCTCAGTGCACATAATTATATACGCGTTTTTTTAAATATTATAAGTGATTCTGTATTCCGAATAACACCTTATAAAATGTGTAAACCATTTTAATTTTAATCCCAAGTCAATCATATTGATATACTCGATGAGAGGGACTCAGGGTCTATAGTGTCAATTTCCTAATGAGTGTTGCGTGTGTGTGTGTGTGTGTGTGTAAGTGTGTGTGTGTGTGTGGGGGGGGGGGGGGGTTAGGGGGTTGGAGTAGGGCATGCAGAGATAACTGACAAGCAAAAAATCTCCGAATAAAAAGGCAACCTCTAAAAGTTCAAACTGAAAAAGAGACCCCATCGTTGTTTGGATATAAATACTGGTAACATGGGATGTTTGAACCTACAAAGAGGAGGGGAGGGGGCACACAATCTCAGGTCCGTAGGAAGCAATTTCAGTGGGGGGGGGGCACAGCCATCCATTTTCAGTTGAGGGGGCACTATCAACTACCAAAATTTCCTTGAAAAGCAAAAAACAAAACAAAAAAAAGATAAAAAAAAAAAAGGACATCAGACGTTTTCATTGAGGGGGCACAAGGATGTAGTAGCCATATTTTTTTTATAGTATCTATACATCGGCAAAATTATTGGGGAGGCACGGCCCCCTACGGCCATGAATCTCTATATGAATAATTCCATACTAAATTAACGCACAATAAAACGGAGGAGGGGGCACAAATTTTTACAAAAACATAAAGTTTTCTAAAATAAAAAGAACTGAAATAATGGACTAAGTCATAAGAAGTAGTAGTCCCTGAAACTAATATTAAATTGTCCTGAAGCCAGTTTGAAATTGAATTTGTAACTTGTTTAGGAATTGAATACAGTAAGATAGATGTGGACTTTTTCAAAGAGCATTATACTCATTGTTGAAAATAAGAATTAAATCGACACTGACTTTATGCTTAAAAATATGAATGAAACAGAAGAATTAATAGATTAAACAATAGATTATTTAGGCTGTAAAGAAATTATGATTGAACTTCTGATATATGTTTATATGGCAACATCGATCGTTTGAGATAAATCACTGATAGAAGAAAAAAGTACTACCCTGGAATTATATGTAACATGTGTGGATGACATTCAGTTGTTATGAAGATGTTCAAAATCATCAACCATGTCAAATTAACAACAATCGTAAGGCACAAAGACTATTATGGAATCTGTACATTATGGGAAAGATAAAAATAAAAGCAACGGCATTTTTTTCCTGACTATTGCATGTATGTAATAAATTAGCCATATTTAGCATGTTTAGCATTGAAATCTTGGACGTCAAGTTTCAACTCTAATATTTTGACACCCCGGATTTCTCGACATTTTTTTGAAAGTTCCGTTGAATGGTACATGACTTTGAGGATAAAGGACACACACACACTCTTACACATACACCTTTCTGCTTCTAAAGAAAAAAAAAACCTTTCTAATCCGGTCGTGTGGTTACAGGCAAAAAATACCAGTCATGTTCTGCAATTTCAAGATTCCACTTTGCCTATGAAGAGAGTCGTAGAGCGGTAGAGTTTCAAACATTAAATGGATATTGCTTACCTGCATCACCTAAAACAAAAAATTATTAACATGTGCTGGACGTATTATTTAATTATTCCTTGAGACATACATATATACATTTCATTGCATCGAAGTATAAATTATGAAAAGTTATAAGATGTCAGGTTAGCTGATGTCACGGAGGAAGATGAATAGATGACCTTAATTGCGTAAAAATATATTCAAGTCTCGCAAAATATTCAGTTTCAATTTTAGATTTCGTCATAATTGTAATGCAGCTTTATTTCACTTTGCTCAGAAAAGCCCAGCTGCGTTAAATATGCATATATAGAAAAGAGCCAAAAGCAGTACAACCATCTCTTTGATCAAACTATACTTAATTTTTTTGATTCCGGAAGGGGGGGGGGTAGATCTTAGAAATAAGCAGAAAGTTTTTGAGTTTGGACAGCGCCCCCCCCCCCCTTCCTTGTATTTGCTTGACAACCGTTTTTCAGTGAAGAAGAAATAAGATAAAATCTCTTGTCATGCTTGAAATAAATATACAGTGTATTATGTATTGTACATGTATATGTATATATAAAGCCTGGACAGAAATAAATTTACCTCCCCTTTTAGAATAAAATGGCCGTCCCCTGATCTTATGAAAGAATATATCTATCTCTTCCATATCTGTAACGTTTGTGTGTCTTCAAAAATATTGGATTGAAAATTCTGATCTACATCATTTTTCAAACTATTCGGGAATTGAAACTATTAGTCTTTTGGGTCATACATTAATGCTCTGTCTATGAAAAAAAGCTTTAGTGGATTAAAAATCAAATTCAAATTTGAATTCCAATCCAATGTTTTCTCAGACGTCCGTGTCGAATTGTACCCGCCCATATCATTGTCGATCATCAAATATTTTGACTTCAACAGATGGAAATGACGTAAGCTGTACATTTCAAATCTTGCCAGTTAATTTTGAGCGGTCTTAGGAATCTATTTTACAGAAACTAATTTCCCTAATGTTTTCATTTGAGATTACAGTTTCGGTCCTTTTAAGAAATGATGTACGATTGTCGTGTCCAAGTGATAAGTGTCCAGAGCACAGGTTGAAAAAAAAGAAGACCGTTTTTTGATAAAACCTGATTTACTTGGGAAAAACAAAGAAATTGACTAATAGTTTCAATTTTCATGTATGGAGTAAACTTTCAAAAATCATTATGAGCGTCTTTTTTATGTTTGTATTCCATACCTAAGACAGGCGAAGAAATTGAATTATATGAACAATAAAAACTTATTTTAAAATGACTTTTTATGAACGGGATAAACTTAACCAAAAAAAAATTACACATCATGAATTCATCTGAATTAATTTCCTGTTAGAATTCATCGGTGATACAGAAAATGCTTGGGGTGTTATTATCTTCTCTTAACAAAGTTAAATGG